TCCTTAATATCTTCATACTTTGCCTTTTCATTCAGACTGTTGCTGCCAATATTCCTTAATCTTACAATTTTTCCTTATGACTTTATTTTTCCATGTAGTCTTATTAATGGAGATACTTTACCTGCAATCTGTTGAACACTGTTTTACAAGTTTCCTATTGTTCCTTATTGTTATTTGTCACTATGATTTCCTGTTTGTTTTCCCCAGGTTCTATTCACAGCCCCTCAAAAATAGCTTTTGTTCAATCTGTTAACTATTTTTTGTAATATGTAAACCCTTCTCTACTACCACCTTAAAGCATATTATAGTTCAGTCACTATTGCCTAGATATTTCCCTACTTGTACATCTCTTATCTGCTCTGATTCATTTCACAAAACAAGATCTAATAGTGAATCTTCCCTTGTTGGCTTTATTACACATTAATTTGAAAAGGAAGCCCTGTTCATATTCTAAGAACTCCTTTTCTTTATCTATTAACTTACCTATCTTGTCCAATTTCTATTGTGTTAGTTGAAATCCCCCAAGTCTTATTTATCTATTATTCTATTCCCCGATTTGCTTACATATTTCTTCATTTATCTTCCTTCCATCATTATGTGATTCGCAGACTGTAGCTTTCATGTGATTGACCTCTTATCATATTTTAATCTCTATCCAAAGTCCCAATATGCATCAGTGGTGTTGGTTGACTCGGAAGCCTTTCTCCATAGTGGAAGATTTGAGCTATTTTTCCTGTTACACTCTTCAATGAAAATTGAGGTAAATTATTCAACCATTCAATATTCTTGTAATTTCAGCAGTAATTTCCATGAGCTTATCTGCCTCATCTCTTGGTAGCCTTATCTTTTTTCTTCTTTATTCATTCACAGGATAAGGGCATTGCTGGCTAGGCAGCATTTATTGCCCATCCCTAATTGCCCAGAGGGCAGTTAAGAGTCAAAAAAACTGCTGTGGGTCTGGAGTCACATGTAGGCCAGACCAGGTAAGGATGCCAGTTTTGTTCCCTAAAGGGTATTAGTGAACCAGATGGGTTTTTCCCAACAATTTGCAATGATTTCATGGTGATCAGTAGATTCTCAATTCCAGACTTTTTTTTTGAAATCCAATTCCACAATTTGCCATGGTGGAGATTTGAACCCAGGTCCCCAGGATATTACCTGGCGTCTCTGGATTAATAGTCCTGTGATAATACCACTAGGCCATTGCCTCCCCAATCTCTATCCCAATTCTCTTTTGGTTATTCATGTTTCAATAGAATTTATTTTTAGCCTGCATTTGTTGCCCTTTCCAACTGCTCTTGGGAAAGTGATTGTGAACTACCTTCTCGAACTGCTGCAATCTATTTGGTATAGGAAGACTGATGATGCTAAAATGTATTATTCTTCTTATTCTACTTTGATATTTCGATTTCATATATCCTCATTGCTTTTGTTGACCCCTTCCTAAGCTTTCAATGTCTTTTGTCATCCTTTCTTTTACTGTTTATGCACTTTGCAAAAGACATTTTCTTTGGCCTCACCTTATTCCTTACATCTAAATTTACTTTTTTTTTATCAGCAGGCGTTTAAATACCATAACTAAAGTAAAATTGTTTCTAATGGAGGAAATTTAAGGTGATATGTGAAAGACCTGCCATGGGGGCACGGTTTAAACATTACAGGTTATACTTTTGAGATGAGGAGAATTTTTTTTCTTGAGGATTGTGTGACTTTGGAACTTTCTATTTCAGAAGCTGGTACAGGCAGGATCATTGAATATTTTTAAGGTGGAACTAAACAGATTTTTGTTTGGCAAGAGAATTCATGGGAATTGGGAATAAATGGAAATGTAGAAATAGCAGCACAAACAAATCAACTATGATCTTATTTAACGGTAGAGCAAATTTGAGGGATGAATGATCTACTTATGCTCCTCATCCATATGTTTCAATATAAGAACAAGAAGGTAAATGAGGAAAACAATGTTCACTTAACAGATGATTAGGATTGGTTTGCACTGTCTGATGTGATGGTGGACAGAGCCGTCAAAGAACAAATTGCATAAATACTTAAGAAAAATACAGTGATATGGAGAAAAAAGTATGTCAGGTGTATTGCCCTTCAAAAGAATTACTGAAGACTCTATGGGACAAATATCTACATCTGTGCTGTCCTATTCTGTGATTGTGTCCCATTCTTGGTTACTTTATTCTTTTGAGGTTGTAGACTTGCTCGCCAAGCCAGTGTGTTTGGTTGCAAATGTTCATCACCCTGTTGGGCAACATCGTCAGTGCGCCTCCGGAGAAACTTCACTGATGATGTTACCTAGCAGGATGACGAAATGTCTCCAACCAAAAACACCGGCTCGGTGAGCAAGGCTACAACCTCACCCACAACCCGATTGGCAAATCTTCTCAAAAAACTTTACATACTTTAATCTTTTCCAATAAGTTTCTCACAATTTCTGTTGATCTCTTCGTGAAGTACTATCCCCTATTATTGTATCCTGCTGTCCCTCAGATACTTCTCTATTCCCTCATTGTTGATGTATTTCAATGTTATTTATCATCCATGTATCTACATGAATTATTATCATAAATATTTTATTGTGATCACTACAATGTTCTCTCAAGTTTACTTCTCTTACCTGCTTGGTTGATTTCCCACTATTAATTGTGCCAGTGCTTTCCACCTCGTTAGATTTGTTAGAAAATGAGTCAGAGATTTTTTTTACTTTTGGACAAGATTTCCAAATGCTGTTTGCCTTTTTCTTCCTTGCACCGCCACAGTTTGTTTAAATAAGTTCAAATCTCTCATGATTCTAAAATTAAACGAGTTTTACAATTTCCTACATCTGCCCACATATTTTTTCCTGTCTACTCCCTTTCACCTATTTGTTGGTCTGTGGTATAACCTGAAATGTGTGGCTCAGTTCTTCTCAGGATCTCAGAATATTATCTGGACATCACTGTGCAACAATAAGATCATAAGACCATAAGACATAGGAGCAGAAATTAGGCCATTCAGCTCATCGAGTCTGCTCCGCCATGGCTGATAGGTTCCTCAACCCCATTCTCCCGCTTTCTCCCCGTAAGCCTTGATCCCCTTGATAATCAAGAACCTATCGATCTCAGTCTTAGAAGTACTCAATGACCTGGCCTCCACACCCTTCTGTGGCAATGAATTCCATAGATTCACCACTCTCTGGCTGAAGAAGTTTCTCCTTATCTCCATTCTAAAAAGTCTTCCCTTTACTCTAAGGCTGTGCCCTCAGATCCTAGACCCTTGGCCTCATTCTGACAGTAGAGGAAGCCAAGAGTGAGCATGTCGCCATGGGAGTGGGAGAAGAAGTTAAAATGGATGGCAACTGGAAGGTCGGGTTGGTTGTTGCATGCAGAGCACAGATGCTCTGTGAACCGGTCCCCGAGTCTGCATTTGGTCTCCCTGATATAGAGGAGACCATATCAGAGGAATGGATACAGTAGATGAGGTTAGATGAAGTGCAGGTGAATCTCTGTTGGATTTGGAAGGATTGTATGGGGCCTCGGACAGAGATAAGAGGGGAGGTGTAGGGGCAGGTGTAGCACCTCCTGCGGTTGCAGGGAAAGGTACCAGGTGTGGTGGATGGGTAGATAGGGAATTTGGAGCTGACAAGGGAGTCACGGAGTGAACAGTCCCTGCGGAAAGGATCTACGTCCATCCTTGGCTTCCTCCACTGTCAGAGTGAGGCCAAATGTAAACTGGAGGGACAACACCCCTTATTTTGCCTTAGGAGCTTACAGCCCAATGGCCTGAATATTGACTTCACCAGCTTCAAAATCTCTCTTTCCCCAATCTGTCCATCTTCTGCCTCACCTATCCACTCCACCCTTCCCACTGACCAAGTACAATAGCCCCCTAACTGTATCCATCTATCTCCATCTAAGCTACCCGCCACCCCCGCCAAACCCAACCCCCTCCCTCTATTTATTTCTGGTCTCCCCAGTCCTGACCGAGGGCTCGGCCGGAAATGTTGACTTTTCTGCTCCTCTGAATCTGTCTGAGCTGTGCTTTTCCAGCTCCACATTTACGGACTCTAGCTTCCAGCATCTGCAGTCCTTACTGTCTCCAACTCCTTCACTCTTCCCTCTCAACGTGTGCTGTACAGCCCAAGGTATTTGATTTTGTCTAGCCCTGTCTTCATCCTTGCCTCTTTATCCCTGTTAACCTGAGTATTCAGATTTTTTTGACTTTTTGTTCGCAACTCATTCCTTTTATTTTTAAATTTTCTGTTGAAATTATTTCTTTTCATTACTTTACATTTCTTTCTGGCTGTTCAGTGTAGGCTCCTGACGTTGAGCACGATTCCGCCGCATCCCGCGGTGGCGAACAGCTCCTTGCGGTTTTCCCTGTCACGTTCTCCCTCTCTTTCCTATTACCTTGAGAACAATTCGGCCCGGCAGGAAAATCCAATGCCAAACGAATGACCATACTGATCACATTTCGGTGTATTAGGATTTCACCTTTGGAGCGAACGTTCGCCAAAAGTGAAAAATTGAGCCTGGGGACAATTTACAGATCACACATTCAAATCAGTGGAAAATCCCTCTATTATCTGATCTCCACGCCATCCCATATTTCATGTGTGTACTTACAAACAACAAAAAAAGTTCGCTTTGAATCAAGTGGCTGAGAATTACAGGATTTCCTATCCCAGAGTTTATTCCACTGCAACCAAATGATCAGGCACTGGCTTGAAACCGGTTTATTTATTTAAAGGGATCAACTGTTACTCTCGAAAGGCTTACGATTTCATTAGAAATTGTCGCCATCTGAGATCTCCCTGCTAGCCTGGAGAGACATTGTCTCTTTGACAATGTCGTTCAAACAACCTTAAAGATAATAGTGATCGAAATCAAGGGTTCCTTTGTTCAAAAAAATGGAAGTTCAAGCAGCAAGTTGTCACTTCTTCCTTCCCAGTAAACACACACCGTTTTCGGGTTTTATCTCACATTCCGTGTCTAATCTAATTCGGTACTCACAGTTTTCACGTTGACGGGGAAGATGTTGAACTCTCACTCCGACCAGGATAAGAAACAATAGACACGGCCATATAATTTCCGACAGGGTCAGTACCTGAGATACAGAAAAAGAAAGGTTGATGGAAATCGCCAAAGTTCTCGTTAAGTTCCAGAGAGATCTGGAGGAAATTCGCACAGTGACAAATGTCAGGAGTCTTACCGGCTGTCTTAAACGGCAGAGGGAATTTTTCCAAAATAACACGCACAACTGGCGAATAAATCTGGCCATGATGGCACGCTGGCCTGAGTTGAAGACGAACAATCGGTAAATCTGTTGTTGGTGGGGAGCTGGCTGAGATTTGCGTTTCACTGTTGTCAATGACCACGAGTGAGGAATATGTACCCGATGGAGAAGGAGCTCTGCTCTCCGAAGCGGAGATCTTGGTAATGCCAGTGAAAGTCAAAAGCTGTACAACCTGATTGGGAGCAAGAACCTCCTCTCACCCGCAACAATGCAAAAAGATCGTTTCCTCAAATTTGTTTGTTACAGCATATAAAAAGTATGCCTGCTTTTAACAAAAGCGGGCGTTGGAAGGCATTTTAAAGCAACCCCCCAACCACCGCTTTACCTAACTACAAAACCCTATTTATGCCCACTCAATGTTTACAAGGGCAAAACAACACCGGATACGACATAAAAGCAACTTGCTATAAGTTTACAGCTGCTGGTCATTCTGCAGAGTTCATTCGTGCCCATCTATTATATATTTTATCAATTAAAACGCATTGAACCAATTAAAACCTCTTTTCTTTGTCTCTTGTGTGGAAAATCTAAATTCCTGGCCTGCCCTTGCATTGGATGTTTACTAATTCTCAATGGTGGAGCCGAAATTTGAGAAGCCAAAATTTGAGAAACACAGATCTCTCAGCGGTTTAGAGATGGAGAAGGGCTAGACTATAAAGGAGCAGTTGTCACCAAAGTCCCAGAGAATCATAGGGCTGCTCTCTCGTTAGAAAGAGAGAACTGGTGGCGGTTTAACCTGAGGGTCACCCCACTTCAAGCAAGGGGCAAGGTCAAGGACCTTGGTGGTGACTTGAGCCAGTGTGGAAATTGAACCGTCACTTCTGGCATCACTCTGCATCATAAATCACCCTTCCAAGCTAACTGACTTCACATTGGCTGGACTGTGGAGGGATTTGAAAACAAAGATAAGAATTGTGAATGTACTGGATAAATGAATGCCTGGGTTGATGTGTACATGGATGGGGCACTGTGTTGCTAGCAACTGTGGGAAACAGCCTGAGCCGCATCTGATTCTGATGGCTCCCTCAATGCAGGTCAATGAGAATTAGCAGAACGAGTTGAACTCCAGTAAACCATTACCATCAGCAGCTGTGAAGTATTGGAGCACAACCCTGGAGGATTTCTCCAAGCTGAACAACTTCCCAAAGGAGATTGTGAACTTCAAGCTGATGTAGGGATAAGAAACTGACAGTTTGTTTTTGGATTTAAAGCATAACAAAGAGAACATAAAGGCAGTCAAAAAAACATGAAGAACTGTAGATGCTGTAAATCAGAAACAAAACAAAACAGAAATTGCTGGAAAAACTCAGTAGGTCTGGCAGCATCTGTGGAGAGAAAGAAAAGTTAACATTTTGGATCCAGTGACCCTTTTTCAGAGTTAACATGCTTTCTCTTCACAGATGCTGCCAGACCTGCTGAGTTTTTCCAGCAATTTCTATCAATGCAATCAATCCCATCTCCAAGGAAAGCTTCACATGAATACAAAGGCATTCAAGTAAAGCAGCATGATGGTATGAGAGGGAATGGAGGATTTGCTGAACAAACTCTGGAGTCACTGGGAGGAAATCCACCATTTTCACGTGGTTTGGCTGTTCGAAGACTCATGAATGACAAGATAGAACAGGTAGATAACGTGAACAGATTAACTATCTGCACTTTGCCAAGACTCATTTTCCACCCAGCCACATTCTTGCCACTATCTTGACAATGTGGAATTTCACACCATGAGCTAAAACTAAAGTGAGAACCACAGACAATGATGAATGGATAGAAGTAGAAGACAAATTGTATGCCTTACATCAACTATCATTGGGAACTGACCTGGATACTATTTCTCTGGCAACTTTGGCATGAAAATATAACACCAGTGAGCCCAAACAATCAGTAACATCATCTGTGTCTACCTTTGATGCAGTATTCAACATAGAGTCCCTTAATAGTAAGTTGATGAGCTAAGTTTGATTATGGACAACTATAGTATTGACTTTGAAGAAATTGCAAAACAAAAAAACCCGCTAATAAGCCTGCAAGACAAATTTAACACTTCAGCTTTTGCCTTGTTCTTAGACATAAGGACAGGGCATTGCAATTAACATCAAGCACCACCTTAATGTTATACATCTCAACATCTGACAATCTAGCTGTGATACAAGTGAGGGTCTGACCTCCATGTCTGCCATGATCAATAGTGAGATCACTGGTGTGTATTTCCCTCCAGGGAGTCCAATCATAGATGAGCTGTTAGATCTTCTCAGGATTCTTATTTGCCAGCTAGAGATTACAACTGTCACCAGAGGAGATTTCAATTAACTTGGATTCAATACTCTACTTTCAGACACAATGGTTCAGGTCATGAATCTGAATAATAGAATGATGTTATTCTGGATAAAACTATAATGAACACTGATCATTACAACCTGCCACCTCATCCCTGGAACTCAGTGATCATCAGTATGTTATTGTGAGACAACAAAAAAAACCCTTCTGCAAAACAATGCTGTTCACAAACACTTTGTAAGATCATGTTGAAAGCAATTTATGGGAGTTTGGAATATGGGTGAAAAATCCAATTGGTTGGATATCTCATCTACTGAGAATGTGAATAAAATGTTTTATTGCACACTTCAACAAGTGATTGACACTTATTTTCCACAGCAAAGTGTTCCCCAATATCTGTAGCACAGATTGTGGATGATGTCAGACATGAAGACACAATATTATCAATGAACCTTCCACAGTAATGGAAATTATCCACCCTGGAGCCATTGCTGCAACAAATGTATACACAAAATGAAGAGAACAAAGCAAAATCAGTTTGCTTCTAAAGTAGGATATCTAAAATTTTCAAACCCAAGAGCATGATCTTGCAAGATTCACATCATGTCTACTCACAGCAGTAGCTCAGATAGTAAAATTGCATAAGCTAAGGGCTCTCTACCTGTATGCATACACCAATCAATCACAGCAAACAGCAATACTCAGGTATCATCTAATTGCAATTATAGGAATGTGGCTGTATGATGACCAAGACTGGGACTGAATATTCAAGGATAATTGACATTTAGGAAGGACAGACAAGAAGGAAAAAGCATAGAGTTGTGCTGATAATAAAAGATGAGATCACTTCATTAGTAAGGGAGGATCTCAGATCAGAAGAACAATGTATGGAATCTGTTGATTGGAACTAAAAAACAGCAAGGGGCAGACATTGGCTGGAATTATTTATAGGCCAACAATAATAGTGGGGCATAGTATTAATCAGGAGATGAGAGAAGCATGTAGCATGGGCAACAAGTTATCTTGGGTGACTTTAACCATGAGTGATCACAGACTAGGTAAACCAATTGAGCGCTAAAGCTGTAGACTTTCTAGAGTGCATTAGGGATGGTTTTCTAAAGCAGTATGCTGCTCAGCCAACTACAGGACATGTTATTTTAGATGTGGTATTGTGTAATGAAAACAAAAGGCTAATTAACAATCTTGTCATAAAAGAACAGCATTGACAGTTCTTTTAGTTTTTATTTTGTCATGAAAGAACCTTTAGGGATGAGTGATCATAGTATGATATTATATTTAAAAGTGAGGTAGTTCATTCTGAAGCAAGAATGTTAAGTTTGAATAAATGACCAAAAATCGGTATTTGGGCACCAGCTGTTCGCAATGTATCTCAATGATTTGGAGTTCAGGACTGATGTAGTATTTCCAAACTTGAGGATTTTCAAAGCTAAATGGGAATGTATGTTGTGAGGAAGATGTAAAGTGACTTCAGGAGGATTTGGACAAACCTAGTGAATGGGCAAGGAGATAGTAGATGGCAAATAATGTAGAAAAATGTGAGGTTATCCACTTTGGTGAAAGAAACAGATGTGCAGAGTTTTCCTTAAATGGTAAGTGTTTGGAAGCGTAGCAGGATGAAGAGACCTGGTTGTCCATGTTGATAAGTCCCTTAAGGGTAACATGCCGATTTACTAAGATTAATGGAATTTTAGCATTTGTTGTAAGAGGGTTTGAGTGCAGGAACAATTAAGTCTTGCTAGTTGTATAAGGGCTTAGCTAGACCACATCTGTGTGCAGCCTTGGTCTTCAGATCTCAGAAAAGATATTGTTTTTATAGTAAGAGTGCAACAAAGGTTCAACAGACTTCTTTCCGGGATGGTGGGAGTCACCTCTGAAGAGCAATTGGCAAATTAGGCCTGTATTCTGTCAAGTTTCGAAGAATGAGAGGTGATCTCATTGAAGTTTACAAAATGCCTAAAAGGTAGATTCTGGTAGATATGGAAGGTTGATGCAGATAACATGTTTTCTCTAAATCTAGAGTAAGGGGGCACAATTTAAAAATTAAGGCAATACCATTAGGTCTGAGATTAGAATTTTTTTTAACTCAGCGGGTTGCAAACTTTTGGAATTGTCTACCATTGAGAGTTAAGAAAGATTTGACTCTGAGTATGTTTAAGGGAACATTTGAACATTTGATAGGTTTCTGATTACCAGTAGTATACAGGGTTATAGGGATAGGGTGGGTAAAACGCATTGAAGCATTTGATCAACCATTTTCGTATTGAATGGTTGGGAAGGATCAATGGGCTGAATGGACTACTCCTATCCCTATATAGCATTCCAACTGTTGCTGAGCAACTTCTGAATTGGATTATAGAAAATAAAATGCAGCTTAATCCCAATAAGTGTGCAATTATCAATATTGGTTCCACTTGAAACAAATAACTTCTAATCTGACACTGAGTGATATCACAATCCAACATTATAATGCCATCAAACTGGTATATTTATCCAAGATAACAAGGTGTAGAGCTGGATGAACACAGCAAGCCAAGCAGCATCAAAGGAACAAGAAAGCTGACGTTTCGGGCCTGGACCCTTCTTCAAAAAATTTCTGAAGAAGGG